CAGATTAAAAAGGTGTAAAAAACACACTGGACTATTAATAGTGTTTCCTTCAGGGAGAAAGGTGAGGCTGGGGAAAGCTGGGGAAAAATATACACTTTTGTAATATTTGAAAAATCTCTAATCATATATTTTATGACTTTTTAAAAAATAGCATGATAGATATTATGATAGACATGCAGTTTCTAACCATGGGAGATGGGATCAGCTGAGACTTAATAACTAAGCAGGAATCAGTCAGACAGAATAGTAGAGGAAAGGCACTTACGGCAGAGAATTAGCATGTGCAAAGGCGCAGGGGTCTAGGAGGAGGAGAGGTATCCATTATGTGTGGTAGTTTGGTAAAAGCAAATCCTAGGTGGATATGGTAGAAGAGTGGAGGGTGAGGGTAGAAGGCTGATCGTGGGGCCTGCGTAAGATGTTAAGGAATTTGAACTGTATTCTGAGCCGCTAGGAAGCCATTGATGGATTTGGGGTGGTGGGAGGGTAGGGGGGGTGGATAACACGCTGCAGTTTGTGTTTCAGGGAGATGTCACTGAAAACAGTGTAGACAATGAATGGAGTAGAAGGAAAAACAATTAGGAAACACTATGAGCAAGGAAAGAGTTGCCAAAGCTCTTAACTAAAACCATGGAAAGGAATCAAGAAACTATTGGTTATTTGCAACTACAGTTGAAAATGGAGATGCAGTCAAGAGGTAAGGCTTTAATAATCAGCATTTCCTGGGATGCCTGGGTGGCTCCGTCAGTTAAGCATCTGACTTCACCTCAGGTCATGATCTCGGGTTCGATGGTCCGATTCCTGCATGGGGCTCTGTGCTAAAAGCTCAGAGCCTGTTTTGGATTCTGTGTCTCCCTCTTTCTGCCCCTCTCATGCTCGCACTTTCCCTCTCCCTCTCTCTCTCTCTCTCTCTCTTTCAGAAATAAACACTAAAAAAATAAAAAAAAAAAAGAATCAGCATTTCCCAATTCCATTATTCATGTTCTCCATCACAATCTAAGAAAAACCCACTACTATCTTTTACTCAGTAATTTTTATTGACTCACATTAAGCCTCATGCTAAGCAGAAAAATAATAGGTTTGATACACTGTGGTTTTCTACTACACCTTAATATAAGCACATATAAATTAAAATTAAAATGCATCTAAGTCTTCTTAAATACCAGCAATGAAAACTATACCACACTTTAGGACACATAAGATCGATTGCTTCCATTTCTAAAACCCTGTAAGTCTATGTTATTTAACCAAAAGCTTCCTTTGAAATTTGAGCCCCCAAAATGTTATAAGCATTTTGTCCAAGATTTAGCTTAGACTGAGTATGGTCTCCAGATCTAGTAACTCAGAATTGCAAATTCTCAGACCCTACTAAAGCAGAAATTCTGAAGGTACAAGGGACTAATCTATGTTTTAAGAAACTTCCATGTGAATTGGATGCCCCTACCTAAAGTCTGAGAACCACTGCTTTGGGCACAAGATGCACAGGATTTCTCCGGCAAAGAAACTGAGGCAATCAGAAGAATGTAGGTAGGATCATTTCCAACTCAGTGCTCTTACATCTAATAACATCTATTATTCTTTTTTATTATCCAGATCCATACTGTGCCTTTTAGAACCATGCTCAGTTCATTGACAACCATTAAGTAGATCAACTGAGGATAATGATGCATTTGTGGTTTTCTAGATCTCTAGTGTATCACTTCTCAAATTCTCATACCACAGTTACTACCTTCATAATTCTGCTCCAACCATGTATCACATATTGTACACACATATTATTTACTTTAAGTTTTTCCTTAAATAGGGGCGCCTGGGTGGCACAGCCGGTTAAGCGTCCGACTTCAGCCAGGTCATGATCTCGCGGTCCGTGAGTTCGAGCCCCGCGTCGGGCTCTGGGCTGATGGCTCAGAGCCTGGAGCCTGTTTCCGATTCTGTGTCTCCCTCTCTCTCTCTGCCCCTCCCCCGTTCATGCTCTGTCTCTCTCTGTCCCAAAAATAAATAAACGTTGAAAAGTTTTTCCTTAAATTCCCTTTTTTATTTTAATAAATTAAAGGACAAATTTATATTACTACCATCACCAGAAAGTACCACTTGCTGTGAGTAAAAGCTAACTACAAAGACGAATACAATGTCAGATTCTACCCTTATTTGTCAAAAGTTCTGCTCTGATGACATGATACTCTTTGTATAAAACCCAAAGACTGCACCAAAAAAATTGCTGTAACTAATACATGAACTTATCAAAGTCACAGGATATAAAATCAATGTGTAGAAATCTGTTGCATTTCTATACACCAATAATGAAACAGCAGAAGAAGAAATCAAGGAATCAATCCCATTTGCAATTGCCCCAATAACAATTAGATACCTAGGAATAAACCTAACTAAAGAGGTAAAAGATCTGTACTCTAAAAACTATAGAACACTTATGAAAAAAATTGAAGATACAAAGAAATGGAAAAGCATTCCATGCTCATGGATTGGAAGAACACTGTCAAAATATCTATACTACCCAAAGCAATCTATACATTAATGCAATCCCTTTCAAAATACCACCAGCATTTTTTACAGAGCTAGAACAAACAATCCGAAAATTTGTATGGAACCACAAAAGACCCCAAATAGCCAAAGCAATCCTGAAAAAAAAAAGGCAAAGCTGGAAATATCATAATTCCAGATTCCAAGCTATATTATAGAGCTGTAGTCATCAAGACAGTATGGCACAAGTGCAAAAACAGACACATAGATCAATGGAACAGAAAAGAAAACCCAGAAATGGACCCACAACTATATGGGCAACAAATCTTCAAAAAAGCAGGAAAGAATATCCAAAGGAAAAAAGACAGTCTTTTCAACAAATGATGTTGGGAAAACTGGCTGGCGACATGCAGAAGAATGAAACTGAACCACTTACTTACACCATACACAAAAATAAACTCAAAATGGATGAATGACTTAAATGTGAGATAGGAAACCATCAAAATCCTAGAGGAGAACACAGGCAGCAACGTCTTTAACCTCAGCCGCAGCAGTTTCTTACTAGACACATCACCAAACGCAAGGAAAACTAAAGCAAACATGAACTATTGGGACCTCATCAAGATAAAAACTTCTGCACAGTGAGTTAAACAATCAACAAAACTAAAAGGCAGCCTATGGAGTGGAAGAAGATATTTTCAAATGGCACATCTGATAAAGGGTTAATATCCAAAATCTATAAAGAACATATCAATTTCAACACCCCAAAAAACAAATAATCCAGGTAAGAAATGGGCAGAAAACATAAATAGATACTTTTCCAAAGAAGACATCCAGATGGCTAATAGACACATGAAAAGATGCTCAATATCATTCATCATTAGGGAAATATAAATCAAAACCATGGTGAGATATCACTTCATACCTGTCAGAATGTCTAAAATTTATAACACAAGAAACAACAGATGTTGGTGAGGATGTGGTGAAAGGAGAAGCCTCTTGCCCTGCTGGTGTGAATGCAAACTGGTGCAGCCACTCTGAAGAACAGTATGGAGGATCCTCAAGAGACTAAAAATAGAACTACCCTACAATCCAGCAATTGCACTATTAGGTATTTACCCAAAGGATACAAAAACCCAGATGGAAGGAGTACATGCACCCCAATGTTTAACAGCATTATTGACAATAGCAAAACTATGGAGAAAGCTCAAATGTCCATCGAATGATGAATGGATAAAGAAGATGTGATATTTATACAATGAGATATTACTCAGCCATCAAAAAGAATGAAATCTTGCTATTTGCAATGACATGGTTGAAGCTAGAGTGTATTATGCTGAGCAAAATTAGTCAACTGGAGAAAGACAAGTACCATGTGATTTCACTCATATGTCGAATTAAAGAAACGAAACAGATGAACATGTGAGGGGGGTGGAAAGAAGAGCAGGAAACAAACCACAAGTGACTTGTAACAATAGAGAACAAACTGAAGATTGTTGGAGGGTAGGTGGGTGCAGGATGGGCTAAATGGGTGATGGGTATTAAGGAAGGCACCTGTGATGGGCCCTGGGTGTTGTATATAAGTGATGAATCACTGACTTCTACTCTGGAAACCAGTATCGCACTGTATGCTAACTAAAATTTAAATTAAAAATAAAATAAAATAAAACAGGACCAAAAAAAAAAAAGAAAGAAAGAAATTGTCTGATTATTGTTAGTTAAGTAATTTGCCTGATCCCCGAAATCCTCAAAAAACAAACAAAAAAAAAAAAAAGGAAAAAGAAAAAGAAAGAAGAAAGAAAGAAGAAAGAAAGAAAGAAAGAAAGAAAGAAAGAAACTGACCTTCCAATAAACAAACCATATTTTAAGGTTTATTTACCTAAAAATAAATTTGCTCATAAGGACTGCATTCCTTTATTATCAAGGGTGGTTAGCCCATATTAGAAGAGTGTTCAAGTTTCATACCTAACTTGAGGTACTCTGGATAGAAAAAGCATTAAAATGGATGTAAGTTTCTCAACATGTGAATCAGTATTAGTTACCTATATGAGCATGAACCCCCCCAAATCATTCCGTTCTGGGAGTGATTCCTATCCCACACTTCAGGAAATGCTAGCTTAAACCATAAGTACAAGCTAGATAAACTCTGAGAGTGCAGATTTAGAACAGGAAAGTTCTAAAAATAAAACCTTCATATTTAAGAAGTGAACCAAAAAAGAAAAGCAAACAAGGGTGACTAGAACCTGGCCTGAAGTGAGAAGCAGGACCTAAAAGGGTCAGAGAAAAGCTAGACACAGAATTGCCACTGAATCCAGGAGAGAAGGAATTTAGGAAAAGAAAGCACCGGCAAGAATGAATGATCTAGCACAAACATCTGCCTTCCAACCAACCCTAAACCCAAACAATGACATAAAATAATTTTATTTTGTAAAAATCCATGTATTTTGTAAAAGTATTACCAATGGAACAGGGGTTTTAAGAAATTCCTGAAAGAGACAATTCCCTTTCCTTTCTCTCTCTTCCAGCTATCACAGCTGCCACAAGGAAAGAAGGCTAAAGGGAAGAAGGTGGTCTTGGACCCTGCTGTCATGAAGAAGCAAGAGGCCAAAAAAGGTGGTCAGTCCCTTGTTAAAACAAGGGACAGGACATCCAGCCTCAAAGGGACTTCACTCTGTGAAATGTCCCCTCTGTATCTGGTTGCAGTGGCAAAGGCTCTTCCCTTTAAACATCTGAAAATTCCTTCTGTCATTAACCAGTTAACCCAGGGCTTGGCCCACCAAACAGTTATTCAATTGTTTAAGTTCATCCACAGATTCAGACCAGAGACAAAGCAAGAGAAGAAGCAGAAAATTTTGGCCTGAATTGAGAACAAAGTTGCTAGCAAAGGGGATGACCCCACTAAGAGGCCACCTGTTCTTCAAGTGGGGGTTAATACTGTCCCCACTTTAATGGAAAATAAGAAGTCTCAGCTGATAGTGATTTTACATTCTGTGGACCCCACTGAGCTGGCTGTCTTCCTGTCTGCCCTGTGTCATAAGGTGGGTGTTCCCCATTGCGTTATCAAGAGGAAGGCCAGGCTGGGCATCTGGTCCACAGGAAAACCTCACACAGGTTCACTCAGAAGACAAAGGAGGTCTGTCCAAGCAGATGGAAGCTATGAGGACCAATGACAATGACAAATATGATGAGATCCACCATCTCTGGGGAGGCATCGTCCTGGGTCCAAAGTCAGTGGCTTGTGTTGCTGAGCTGGAAAAGGCAAAGGCTAAAGAACTGGCACCAAACCGGGCTAAGTGTGCACTGCTGAGTCGTCCGTATGTAAAGGTAATATGAGTTCATTTTCAGCCAGAATTGGAAGGAAGGAAGGAAGGAAGGAAGGAAGGAAGGAAGGAAGGAAAAGAGAGAGAGAGACACAAAGAGAGAAAGAGAACGAAAGAAAGAAAGAAAGAAAGAAAGAAAGAAAGAAAGAGAAAGAAAAAGAGAAAGAAGGAGAGAAAGAAAGAGGAAGGAAGGAAGGAAGGAAGGAAGCAAGGAAGGAAGGAAGGGAAAGAGAGAGAGAGACAAAGAGAGAAAGAGAAGAAGAAAGAAAGAAAGAAGAAAGAAAAGAGAGAAAAAAAGAAAAAGAGTAGGAGGGAGGAAGGAAGGAAGGGAAAGAGAGAGAGAGAGACAAAGAGAAAGAGAGGAAGAAAGAAAGAAAGAAAGAAAGAAAGAGAAAGAAAGAGAAAGAGAAAAAGAAAGAAAGAAAGAAAGAAAGAAAGAAAGAAAGATTCCTGAAAGAAAACAGATGATACCAAATGATACATGGAGAAACAAAACCACATGCACGTGTACGCTGAAAGAGGTCCAACAGGTTTAATGAAGGTTAACAGCTTTATCAAGGTTTTACCAGGGATTATTTCAACGTAGAAAGTCGTATAGACACCTCCTTTGCTCATCTACGTTATAATAAAAATTAACCACATTATTTACATTGTAATAAAAGTTCCATAATTACTAAACAGTATTTGTGATACCAAACAATATATTTTAGTTAAATGGGTGTATTCATTGTCTATTGCTGAGTATCAAATTATCCGACAATATGGCCTGTTAAAACAACACCCATTTATTACACCACAGTCTCTGTAGGTCAGGAATCTGGATGTGACCGAGTCCTCACTGCTTCATGGTCTCTCACAAAGCTGCAGTGAAAGTGTTGGCTCAGTGAATGCAATCTCATCTGTGGGCTCTACTGGGGAAGCATGTCACTCAATAGTTATTGGAAGCATTCAGCTCTTCATTGGCTGTTGGGCGGAGGGCCTCAATTCATCGATTGTTCTTGTCTGGATGTGGCCCTCAGTTTCTTGCCTCAGGGCTTCTCCAACACAGCAACTTGCTTTATCAAAGTACACACAAGCCAAAAAAGCAATAGAGGGAGTCTGCTAGCAAGAAAAAAGTCCCAATAGTTCATAATCTAATCATTGAAGTGACATTCCCTCAATGTTGCCATAAATAACAGAAGGCAGGGATCATTGGCAGACACTGCAGAAGCTGCCTTACCCAGAAGAGTCCTTCTCACCCAAATAATTACATTTAGTTCTAGATAGACACTAAAATTATATCTAAGCTTTTCATTTTACAGATGAGAAAACTGAGACACAGGGTGATTGTATAACTCATTCAAGTCTAGTCTAAAGTGAGAACCAAGGTCTGCTTAGCCCATTTTACTGTTTTTTTTACCCTACACCATAACTGCTGCTTTTTTTTTTTTTTAATGTTTATTCATTTTGGGAGAGAGAGAAAGAAAGCAGGGGAGGGGCAGAGAGAGAATCCCAAGCAGACTCCGCACTGTCAGCCCAGAGCCAGACACAGGGCTCAAACTTACCAACCCTGAGATCATGACCTGAGCTGAAATCAAGAAGTTGTATGCTTAACTTACTGAACCACCCAGGCACCCCTTACTGATTCTAAAGTCTGGGACAAGTGCCATATCTCAACTGCTCCAGCCTGTTGACAACCCTTTCTCTGAAGGGTAACATGAATTCTCTATGTCACTTCCATGGTAGTTAACCAAACAATACCTGAATGACTGTTGTTTTTTTTTTTTTTAATTTTTTTTAACGTTTATTCATTTTGGGGAGAGAGAGAGAGTGTGTGTGTGCGTGTGTGTGTGTGTGTGTGTGTGTGTGAGTGGGGAAGGGGCAGAGAGAGAGAGAAGGACACAGAATCCAAAGAAGGCTCCAGGTTCCAAGCAGTCAGCGCAGAGCCGGGCACGGGGCTCGAACCCATGAACCATGAGACCATGACCTAAGCCAAAGTCAGATGCTTAACCGACTGACCCACCTAGGTGCACCTACCTGAATGACTGTTTAATGTTCTAGGGTAGCTACCTTAGCTCCCCCTAAAACCTCTTCTAAGAAGGAACTATATTTCATGCATCCTCTTGTCCCTTGTAAAGAAAATTCTAGAAGCCTCCTACCCACAAAAGGAACTTAGTGAAACGTGTGTTGACTGACAAAATTTAAAAACTGCAAGAAAGCATAAATGTTAGAGAAGGAGAAATTGTATAATTTGCTTTTGACAGTCATATAACATCCTCAAATTGTCAAATAAAAATTTCCTTAAGTAATTTTTTATGGGATAATGTAAGGTCAATGAATTAATAAGAGCAAGGGTCAGCACTGTCCATCTAGTAAAGTTCAATATGAGGAAACCTAAAGACAAATTAATTCCCACCTCTCAGCCCGTGGCCCTGGGCTGGTTAGCATTTTCACTCATTGGGTTCTGTGTTTGCATGAGGAGATTTGCAGCCTACGTTATAAGAGTGTAAAAGATACATAACTGACAGAGAAATACTTGGAAGGTGCATACCATTGAAAATGTATACAAAACATTCAACACTTGAGAAGAGAAAAATCACAATTTCTTCTATTCCTATACCAGTGCCCTAATCCACTTTCCTTTCCTCTATATGAAATAAATAGGTCCCCAAATAAACTGGAGGATAAAACCAGTACTTAACAAACTCCTCAAAACCAATAGCTGCACATTTCGTCCAAGTCATATGAATTCCTCCACTTTGTAAACCTTAAGAGACAACAAGAAACTATGAAGATGACCTGTTTCACTTTTTTGAGACATTCTGGGTAAAATAAAGCATAATGTATGGTTTCCTCAAAATTCAAAGACTAAGGAAATATTCTAACCCGTAGAGTAGTTCTACTAAACACTGGTATAGAAAACAATCTTGAAGCAATTGCTTGCTTCTATCAAGACAGGTGATTGTAACATGTGTGCAGGTGAATTGAGGGGACAGCAATGTAGCTGTGTATAATCAATTAATTCTAGCAATGCTATTGACAGAAAATTCCAGAAACACACCAGTGAAGTACCTGCAGTCTTTACCATGTTTCTACTTTTCTAAAAATATTTCACATTTGTCCCCACAATCTTATCAAAGGGAGTCAGGAATTTTACTCAAAGCTGTGAACTGGGTCTTGTATGCTCTGTAAGATTTAAACAGATCAGGTTCTTATTTCCTACATGAATACATTTATGATAAGCAAGTCTTTGATTAGCTGTTGGCTGTGCAAAGACCAGACACACCCTTCTGCACCTTGGATTGATATGCACTGAAACATCCCTAACATTTTGAATTATTTATTTTAGGAGGGCTTAAGCCAAAAGACTGGGAAAATATTATCAATGCCAAGCCCTTCTCTTCCCCCAGAAGGCTTGTCTCTTGCCTCTTACAACAAAGTAAAGAAGATTCTAGTTTTCCTTACCAGAATCTTTTTAGGTGCCTAAGGCAGGGCAGATGGGAGGTGGAAAGAGAATATAAACTGTTTTGGAGTTCCTTCACATGAAGAAAAAAAAAGTTGTATCAAGATTTAAATACTCCTGCCTCAACAAACACAAATAACCAAGCAAAAGTTAGCTTACAAAAAATTCAAATTGCTGCCCTGGAGGAAAAAAGCTCAAACTAACAGATGCTCAGTCATTTTAGCAATCTTTTAGAATATTGGGATTTAATAGCAGTTTATTATCTGCACCAATAACAACAAAAATGATGGAACTATAGGTCAGGCATTGAAACAAAATTATCCCTACTACATTATCTATAATATGACAATTGTGAAGAACCCACCAAGACTAAATAAGAAATGTTTTCTAATGAATGTTGCTATTGTGTTAAATGAGATTAATATGGGCCTTGAATTGTAGAAACATTGAATTAAGCAGCAGGTAATGAAAAGTGATTATCCTAATTAAGCAAAAAAAAAAAAACAAACAAACAAAAAAAAAACATACAATGGCCCTCTTCGTCACCAGAGATGCCCCCTTGCGTAGCATCAAACTTCCTCCTATGTGAACTCCGAGCTACCCTCTAGAGAGACCAGGATTTTGCTAAATACCCTGTATAACATCAAATAACGGTTTCTCCTCTATTCTGCAAACCAAAGAAAGAAATGGGATAACATTCTCTAATGATAATGCCATGAGTTCTTCAGAAGAAAGATTATACTGATTAAAGAATTGCACATATCTGATTAAAGAATTTATTGCACATATCTGATTTAAAGAATTAAAGATTGCACATATCTGATTAAAGAAATCAGATATGTGGGTTTGGGAGACTCAAAACACAGTCTCCTCAAAGGTAAGCATTGGTCTCTGGCTCTGGCCGTCATGGGGACAGAGACTTAGAGTATGTTTGGGACAGGATGATATGCACATACCCTAGCTCGTGCAGAATGAAGTTTACAAAGGATCATGAAGATGGGCTCCCCTGCTTCTTATTTCATTTGCATCTGTGAAATCACTGAAATCCCTCCTCAAGATCTCAACAGAATCATAATATCAGGGAAAAAGTGCCTTTGGGTAAATCTCCCAGGGAAATTAAGAGGTAGAGCCATTAAATAGAAATGATACATATTTTATTTTGGCACCTGACCTTTTTATGTGGTTAATACATAAAAATAGCCCTAGAACATTTTTTCTTTTTCTTTTTCTTTTTTTCTAAGACAATCACTAAAGTTTTCTAGGTCTTGTATGTGTCAGACACTGTGCTAAGTGCTTCGACATTTGACATGTTATCCAATTTAATCCTCGTAGCCCTGTAGAGTAGTGTTTTATTTAATTTTATAAGTGAAGAAAAACTTAACCTCAGAAAAAAACAAAAGACAGAAGGTTGTTGATCATTTCTTGAGTAGGGTACAAATAAGATACGAGTTTATGATCATTAACATCTATAAAAAGCCATTCTAAATATAAATAAAATAAAGATTTTTTTTTTTATTTTTCACAAGATTATGACTAGTGGAAAGTGTCCTTCTAAGCAGCAGGCTGCCCAATTCAGAGGTAAACTTGTCACAGTTTCGGCATCCTCTGATGACAGTTCTTATGACTCAGTTCCTTGGATCTCTCTGTAATTCCTAGTGGTTAAATGGAGCTCGTTCCTTGCATGAAATAGTCTGAGTTTGAATCCTAACTGTATGTTTGGGGTGAATACTAGCAATAGACTGGCTGTATTCCCTTAGGCATATTAGTCAACTTGAGAATTTGTAATGGGTTATTTAAAGAGGTGGGGGTAGGATGGTATCTATCTACATGGGGCAGTTTAGGTACAGCCTGAAATCCTTCTGCAAACTGACAAGAGAGCAATATGTAGACAGCTAACATTAAAAAACCCCCCAGGGACAAGATAGGCCACTGTCGTACCTCCTTCATACAGGTTGCATGCAAGACTCCCTCTGCAAAGAATCAATGATTTGGTTTCCAGCATTGCCCAAGTCTTTAATCGAAATCTCCCGAACTATTCCTCTATCTTCCCACCAGGGGGCAGGGTAGAGGCGACCCTAGTCAAGCATAATCTCATTTTCTCTCAATGCCCTATATTGAAAGTCAAGGAAACTGAACACTGACTCTAGTTCTTTTTATTCCTTTTACAATATTCCTACTTCTTGGGGCAATATGGAAGTCACTGATTAACCAGGGGGAAAGAAGTTAGAGGAAAGAACCGCTTAACAAATAATATCTCAAGATACAATCTCAAGAATAGACTGAAATTTATGTCTGAAGTTAGAGTTATTTCTAACATTATTTATATGGCAACAAAAACAAAAGTGCCAGATTCACTTAATAACGATCGTTTTGTTTACAGCTACTCCCTTGCAGTTTCCTTTCCTCTCCCCTATGATTTTGCACATTAGTGTACTTCAAAGCTACTCCTCTGAAATGAGGCATTGACATTTGCTCCTATGGCAGCAGAAATTCAAGCAATTGAATGACACTGATTCTCAGGACAGGCCTTACTATCATGACCTCCTTCTACTCCCATAACCACGACCACCCACCACCACTGCCCCTTGTTCATATTTAACATTTTTTGCCAATGTTCCTTCCGCCTCTCACGCCTGTATCAAATGATAATGGGAAATCTGTCTTATAAACCGAATGCAAGTAAGGTCTAAATTCCAGGATGAGAAATTGCCTCAAATAATGAAAATAAGAGCATTCACATATAGAATGGAGTGTTAGAAGTATATGATAATGCATAAAATATTCTTCTGTTATTGCTGCTGGAAATTACTGTTTACAAAGCACCTTCCCATGTACTATTTGGTTAAATGTAACAGCTTAATATCTCTTTCAAAAGAAGTATCCCAATGAAAGGAAATGTTAGTGGTTTGTAATTTTTTTTTAATGTTTATTTATTTTGAGAGAGAGAGAGAGAGCGCGCAAGCGGGGAAGGGGAGAGAGACACAGAATCTGAAGCAGGCTCTGGGCTCCACGCTGGCAGCACACAGTCAGAGGCGGGGATCTGATCCACAAATTGTGAGATCATGACCTTGGCGGAAGTTGGATGCTCAACTGACCCAGCCCCCAGGCGCCCCTAGTGGTTTGTAATCTTAAGGAGAGCTGGCCTTTCTCATGCTGAATGCTCACGAAAGCAGACATGCCCGGCTGGACTTTCACCTAGTAAGAGAGCCGCATGCCCAGTTTGGAGAAAGTAGGCTGCTGGAAGTTTGTAGAATGATATGGCAATCCTTTAAATGCAGTTATGTCTTTTTTGCCTGGCCTAAATGTTCCCATTATTTCTGTGATATAATTCAACCAACTAGGCACCTTAAATTTTTCAACAATTTTTCCTTTTGAAGTTCCATCGCTGGAGCTGCCAAATCAGTCTTTCCCTGCTGTTGACGGCCTGTGGCACAATGAACGTCACTACGTGCCCCTTCCCATTTGTCAGCAATGGCAGAAACGTCCATGGTACCTGTGAAGGCCAAGTGATTGCCAAGTAATTAGCAAGGGCTGACGTCAGTTAGGCAACATCTCCTTCCGTAGGTTTCCATAAAGCAAGACTTGTGACAACTTTCTTGGAGTCTTAAAAATCAGAATTATTTAAGTAGATAATACCAAAGCAGAAAAAGCCTCTGAGTCTTTTTCCCACCAGAATATGGTGGCAACATGGCATTAAGGTTCAGGTCATGGTACATAAAACAATAGTTATGTCATGTGGTTAATATACTATGACTTGCTAGAGTATAAAAACACCTCTGTCATTTCCCTTTGTCACTTACGCACCATCCACAGGATCAAAGGAAAAAAATAACTTCACCAGTGAGATGCTAAACTATAGAAATAGCCATCGTCTTAGCCAAGGAAGCCCAGTTACACCAGGTAGATGTGAAAAGGTCAACAGACAGCACCATCCATGGACAGCTTTTTGATAACAAAATGGTGATAGGAAAGGTGGGTTTTAATAATTCTGATAAAGATGCTGATGATGTAAATTAGGATGACAGCAAAGGAAAGCAGCGCTTCTGGTCCTCTCCACTAATTCATGTCCATCACGTCCTTTAAAACTCAGCTCAAGTGCTATCCTTCAACCCAGCCAACTACATTAGTCTTTAAGGTTTTGCTTTTCCTCACTCACGTATTCTATTTCTTTTCCCCCATTTGCACCAGCAATTTCACTTTATAATTTTTCTAAAATTATTTCAGCTCTGCATGTGTTGGTTTCCTATCTGCTAACAAACAGAAACTGTGACTAATATTTTTTTAATCCTACCAATTAAACCTGGTTCAGATGCTTGATGCACCATAGGTACTGCTAAGTAATGAAATTCAAGTTTGCAAACATATACATAGGGAATACCTATTTGACGTGAATGACAACAGGGTGGGGAAAATGCGAAGATGAATAAGACATGGCCTTGCCTTGCACTCATGAAACTTAACATGTAGTAGATAAGAGAGACCTGTGAACAATTAGCAATAATAAAGGTAAAATGTCATAATTGCTCATGTAAGTAGCTAAGGTATGCATTAATGCTTCAAAAGATGTAATAAGACATTTGCAACTCCTTCACACTTAGAAAGCCAAGAAAAACTTGAATGAGGTCAAGTTTCTCTGGAGGATAAACAGGAGAGGAGTGCATACCAGACTGAGCTTGAACAAGTACATGGGAGCCAAGAGTGCAAATTACACTAATCAAGAAGTATAGCATGGCTACGCACTATCTGAGTGGGGGGTGGGGATGTAGAAGGTTGGAATTTTAGTGGAATCACCATGGAAGATGTTGGAATCCATACTAAATAGCTGGACTTTATCCTGCCACTCTCCGTTCCCCCAAACTGTTATCCAAGGAATTCTAGTCCCAAAAGATTTTCTGTTATTAGACAGGTGTGTGGCCAGAAGTTTGGGGGGAGATATGCATACTCTGCTACTCTCTCGAATATTCTTTATGCACATTAGTATGCTAAAATTTGAGAGAAGTCTGAGAGTAAGATTCTTAGTATTGTTAACTCACAGCTTCTCAAGCTCTATAATTCCCTCAATTATTTTTCAGTGACATTTATTAACACCTTGTAGATCTAAGTTTCAAGAGAATATGGCTTGTGAAATGCCACTAGGCAAACAGGATCAATTATTTACCTGGATGGAAGTAAGTGATGGGGTCTGACCCATTTTTAATAAATTCTCAGATTGCACATTTCAAAAAAGATTGCATAATTCAAGCAATATAGAATTATTAGTGAGATCCCTGGAACATAGCCACCAACATATCAGTCTTGAAAGGGGAAACTAGGGTAAGTTAGTATGACTCTTTTTTTTTGGTCATGATAAAATATATACAATATAAAGTTTGCCACTTTAACCATTTTTAAGTGTAAGTTTCAGTGACATAACCTACATTTACATTGTTATGTGGCCATCGCCACTAGCCATTTTGAGAAATTTTCCATCGTCCCATAGAATGATCTGGAACTCTGTATTCATTAAACAATCCCCATTCCCCCTCACCCACCCCAGCCCCTGGTAACCACTATTCTACTTTCTGTCTTTAGGAATTTGACTATACTAAGTAACTTCTGCAAATGAAAAAAACTCATTATTTGTCCTTTTATGTCTGACTTAGTTCACTTAGTATGTTGTTGGGATAACTCATTTATTTTTTTATTTTTTATTTTTTGAGAGAGAAAGAGCAAGCAAGGGAGGGACAGAGAGAGAGGGAGAGAGAGAGGATCGCAAGCAGGCTCCACACAGACAGTAGAAATACTGACAGTTCTCACATTCACAATCCGAACCGTGATACCATGACCTGAGCCAAAACCAGGAGTTGGATGCTTAACCAACTGAGCCACCCAGCGGCCCCAGGGATGACTCATTTTTAAAAGAGATAGTCTGACTGTGGTTCCTGAGTGGCTTAGTCGGTTAAGTGTCCAACTCTTAATTTCAGCTCAGGTCATGATCTTATGCTTTGTGAGATCAAGCCCCATGTCAGGCAGAGCCTGCTTGGGATTCTCTCTCTCCCTCTCCCTCTCTGCCCCTCTCCCACTTGTGCTCTGTGTCTCAAAATAAATAAACTTTAAAAAATAAAATAAAAAGAGATGATCTGAGGTCTATGAAAAAAATAAAACAAAAAACACACAAAGAACCACATGCTACAACAGGTCCTAGTAAGAACTACCGGCAAAAAAAAGTCAAGCAATACAAATCTAAATGCAAAGCACTGAAGGATATAAAGGAATCAGACCTTTCCTCAAGAGGGCAAACTTCTAATATAAAGGGCAGAAGTGTAAAGAGCTTAAGAAAAATCTTACCCTGTTATGTAAATCCATGGGAGCGTGTGTCAATCCCTGTCATTTTCTAGAGACTGATCAACATTGTCTAGGCCTTCAAAGGCTTTGCTTATGTTTAAATATTCAGAGTCCCTCAAACATAGCCATTGAAGCTACTGTGCTGGATCTACCATAAACAGAGTATAGACTGAGGATCATGCTTTCATTTGTCCCATATGGTTACCTTTCAAGTCATAAACAGCAGAACAAAGCCATTGAACATCTGATTAGCACTCAGATATCAAAGGCAAAACATGACTATTTTGCTGCCCTAGGAAATTCCCTCAGGGAAACAAAACAGAAAAATTAAGTGTACTTGTGGTAAGGAAAGAAAGCTGAGAAAAAGGGAAAGTATTATGGTTTATCTTTTTTATCTTTTCCATGTCTCCTAAAATCATATTGGTGTAAGCCCAAATCCTGTGTACCTACACAATTGCGAGATTATTCCTGAAGTCCTTCACCTTGGCCCTAACACCCTAGATCCCAGGGCCCAGTTCTCCCCGATGAAACCATCTCCCTCACAGGGCTGCCAAACTGTCTTCCCACTAAAGCACCAAACCTTTGGTTTTCCCTCTTTGCTGCAAAATCTCTAATTCTTTAGTGGGTCCCCATTGTCTAACAGTTAAGTTCAACATTCATAATTCTCCATCATTCAACATTTTTTTTGACCAGGTCAAACACCTGGAAATCAGCAATGCCTTCTCTACTTTTGGAAAACCACTCTGTCAGTGTGTATCATAAACTGCTCCTTAATGTAGATACTTATATTTGTGACCTTTGGAAAGATAGCCAAGTTAAGGAAAAGGCTTTGGAGACTCCATGCTAACATTCACATCCAACTTCCTTCCTGTGTGACCCAGGCCTCATTGTTCAGTATCTCTGTGCCTCAGTTTCCTCAGCAAAAGAACAGGTAACTAACAATGTCAATGTGGCTGGATGTGGATATAGATTACATGAAGTCACATGGGTGAAGCTCTTAGAACAGTGCCGGACACTGTTAGCAGTGCATGGTCTGTGCTAATTAGTACTGAGGATCACACACAGTACAATATAGATCACTCAAACATGTCTTCTGGATGAAAAACCAATGGAAATTCAATAATAACGTGGCTAAATGGAAGATTCTTGTGTTCAACACAGGATATCTGTTGAAATTGAAAATTTCCAAACTATTTAGTCATATCTATCATGTTTATGAATTATGAAAGGAAATAAATTCTAATCTGCTCACTTTTTGCTCCTAATAATAAAAGTGAATCAAACAAAAGAAGAAAGAAAAAAAGATTGATGGGAAAGGTCAACTGTCTGTAGAAGTCTCTCGTTTGCTTGCATTCTTATGCAAACCCCACATAGCATCTCCGCAAATGCTTGCATCACAGAATTATGAACAGTACTCATCAGAGATCAATCACTCTGCTTCCTCACCATAGATGAAGTCTGGTTTCTCCCTGGAGATACAGTGTCCCCTCTTAAACTCTTCCAGTGAAAGTAGATCCCTAAGGCATTAAACAATAAAAAAGGATTGCATACATTTCAGTACTAAAATTCAGCAAGCAATCACCCTCTCTTACCCACCTCTGGATTTTGTAATATTTGTTGTTTTGGTTAATTGTGCTGTTTTAAGTTCTTTTTATGAATTTATGTTAACCTCTTCCATTATGGTTGCTCTCATCCACTGACCTCCAGAATCCTCTGTCACCTTTCTGGATTTTCTTAAGTATATCTTTAACCAGTCCTTGTATTTGACTCTTGGGCCTTCATTAATGTACTTGAAACTACCATGAGGACTGGGAAATAGAGAAAAGTGATCTTCAGAAACAAAAGGAGAATAAAATAGATGCACAGAGGGGTTTCACGGGTCTCTACAGCACTCCAGTTCATGCTGGCCCTCCAAAGGGCATGCAGAATGCCTGCTCTTAAAGTCTCAAGAGACCTAGTATCCTTCCCTTTTAACTCTAGTTGTTCAAATGGAGTTTCTATTCTAACAGCACAACACTTTGGGGGCTTATTTATTTGCCTAAAGTCAGAAAAAGTTACAGCTCTCATGTTAATGTGGTCTTCATTTATGGCATAAAATCAATGCTTACACTGTCCATGCCTCATTTTTTACTTTACCAAAATGAGAGGTTGTATTTAACTGCTTCCTGGAGCAATAGGAAAGAACCACTAATCAATC